AGAGAGAGAGAGAGAGAGAGCGCACTGAAGGGCGGAAGAATCTGAAAATAAATAAATGATCTGCGCTGTATATACACGTGGCATTCCTCCGGAGGACGTTTCCTCGACGAACCGCGACGTTTCCGTTCTCCTCCACTCCCGTCTAATATCCCGACGAGTTCGAGCGTGGAAAAAGAACTCCCCGACGGCGCTCCTCTGGCCGTCGGTGGATTCTTTGCGGCTTGCGGGAAAACCGAACCCCCGTCATCGTTACCGCGCGCGCGCTGCCGTGTCTTCACTTCTACCCCTTCGCCTCCGACAACCACCCTGCCCCCCCCCTCTCCCCCGCCCCGGCGAATAAAGTGGGTCGCAGCGGCGGAACGCGAGGAGCCACGACGGAATGCGCATATTGGGAACAGAGAGCGGCATTAACTCACGGCTCCTCGCGAAGAGAGACGCAAATGCCTGGTAATTTTCGCGGTGCGGTAAGTTTTGCTCCGGTCGGGGGGTGGGGGGGGGGGGGGACGAAACGATTTTCTCTTGAACGTTAAGGGCAGATGAAACAAACTGACAAATCACTCCGCGAACCGAGTGTGTAAACATAAAATGTAATTAGTAACAAAGCGTTTTTTTTTTTTTATTTTGATTCGAACGGACAAGTTAGTTAAACAAAAGACTGATACGCGCGTGAGCAAAAAATGCAATACATTATTTTAATATTAAAATTTAATAGTTTTAATACATCTCTTTTTCAGACATTACAAAGAGAATTTCATTACAAGAATTTTAACAGAGAGAGAGAGAGAGAGAGAGAAAAGCGACTAATTATTCGATTGTATTATAATTCGTAAGTACATTAAATTCTTGTTATTATATATTTTCTTATTTTTATATTGTAGTAAATAAAGCGAATACAAAAATAATTGGAAACACATCTTGGATTGACGAGATATTTGCGGTTAACATCAAAATTTGCTTCGACTTGGCTAGACTTGGCTAGATTTGACTAGACAAATCACTTTGCAGACCGAGTATGTAAACATAAAATATAATTAATAATAAAGCGTTTTTTTTAATTTTGAACGAACAGGTTAGTTAAAAAAAGAGACTGATGCGCGCGTGAGCAAAAATGCAATATATTATTTTAACATTAAAAATTAATACATCTTCTTTTCAGATATTTCGAAGAAAATTTTTTAAAAAAATATGATTGGAATAACTATAATTTAACTATTATTTATAATGAATTTTGGGGACAATTATAAAATTATAATTAATTTAACCATGCAAATTACAGCTGCTTTAACAATGCATTATGGTTGTACATTATGATTAATATTATTATTTTTTCGTTTACTTATTTTTTAGTTATTACAATGTAAATATTAAGCAAATGTTAAGAAAATAGTTATACCTACTCTCTAAATTTTCTGGAGTGAATCTCACTCCAAAAGAGTGAAATCTCACTTCAAAGGAGCGAAAATACTGTCACTCGGCCACTTTAGTGGCAGTATTTTCACTCCTTAGAGTGAAATTTCACTCCAAAAAATTTAAAGAGTACTATAATTACAGTTGCATTTACTACATAAAAATATTTATTCTATTCGTCTCATATATATCTTGATATTTTACTATATTAATTAATACTTGAAATTATTATAATTTATAGTATAATAAAATTTTTTCATATTTGGTAGCATTATATATGTACATATAAGGTTGTCATTACTAACATTATAGTAATAATAACTATAAAAATAGTGCTCCTAATTTTTTTTATCATGCAATTATAGTCACAAAGACAAAATATTTTTCTCTCAATCAGTGTAAAAATTTTAACAGAGAGAGAGAGAGAGAGAGAGAGAGAGAGAGAAGCGACTAATTATTCGATTATAATTCGTACGTTTAAATTCCTTGTTATTGTATTTTTTCTTATATTTATTCTGGTATTTATTTGTAGTAAATGGAGCGTATAAACAAAAATAATTGAAAACACATCTTGGATTGAGACATTTTCGATTAACATTTTACTTCGACTCAAATCAGTTAGACTCTTACCAACAGTTGAAGGGAGTGAGATCAACGACGTTCCAGAGATCGTGGCTCTCGCGACTCTGCAAGAGAATCGCCAATGCGAGGCTGATCAACGGCGCGCCCCAGGCGAACAGGCTGTACTTCATGTACGTCGGCGGATCGTCGCGACGCGGCAGCGACGCCACGGTGGCGTACAGGTGATGGCACATCGCCGCCAACCAGCAGACCACCGATACCCGGAGATACTGCAGACTCAGCCCGAGCGAGATGCAGAGCTCCGAATCCTGAAAATCGAAAACGGCGAACATTGTATTTCGATATACCGTGAAAGTCCATTATCTCTCCGTCGAATAAAAGTCAATGTTCCATGTATGACGCAAATGGAGACCTTCGGTCTCCCCGCGCGCTACCTGTAATAACCCAGAAATCGAGACTGTGTAGTTACAACTTTAAAGAAACGCTGCGATTTGTTTCGCAATCGAGATTGTAGTTACAACTTTAAAGTAACGCTGCGATTTGTTTTGCGATTAAAGCAATTAATATATATTTGTATTTGTGCGTTTGAGAGATAAATAATATAAGGATGAAATTAATTCTATAGATTACCATCGGAAAAAGAGTCTAATGCAAATAACGTGTACGCATAAATAACTGCGAATTATAATGTGAGGATTATTAAAATTACAGAGATTGATTCTGATAATTTTCCATGCTATAAATGCGAAAATTAAGTAAATAATTATTCTTAACAAATAAAAGATGTAAATACAAGAGAAATGAATCTTTATATCGAATGCTTTATATTGAATGGCGAATGGCATAAGAATTTCGTCCTCCTGATTCGATTTACGAATACAGTGGGCCATGAATTTCAGAGCTAAAATTATAGAGCTAAGATTGTTTCCGATAATTTTCCGTGCTATATAAATGCGAAAATTAAAGTAAGTAATTATTCTTAACAAATAAAAGATGTAAATATAAAGAAAACGAATCTTTACATTGAATGCTTTATAGTTTATATTGAATGGCGAATGGCATAAGAATTTCGTCCTCCTGATTCGATTTACGAATACAATGGGCCATGAATTTCAGAGCTAAAATTATAGAGCTGAGATTGTTTCCGATAATTTTCCGTGCTATATAAATGTGAAAATTAAAGTAAGTAATTATTCTTAACAAATAAAAGATGTAAATATAAGGGAAACGAATCTTTACATCGAATGCTTTATATTGAATGGCGAATGGCATAAGAATTTCGTCCTCCTGATTCGATTTACGAATACAGTGGGCCATGAATTTCAGAGCTAAAATTATAGAACTAAAATTGTTTCCAATAATTTTCCGGGCTATATAAATGCGAAAATTAAAGTAAGTAATTATTTTTAACAAATAAAAGATGTAAATATAAAGAAAAAGAATCTTTACATCGAATGCTTTAATATCGAATGACGAATGGCATAAGATATTTTTTCCTCCTCATTTGATTTACGAGTACAGTGGGCCATGAATTACAGAGCTAAAATTGATTCTGATAATTTTCCATGCTATAAATGCGAAAATTAAAGTAAGTAATTATTCTTAACAAATAAAAGATGTAAATACAAG